TTTCTTTCAGCAGTGTTTTGTAGTTTTCCTTGTAGAAGTCTTTCACCTCCTCGGTTAAGTATATTTCTAAGTATCTTATTTATTTATTAATTTTTGAAGCTATTCTAAAAGAGATGGAGTTCTTGATTTGATTCTTAACTTGGTTCCTGTTAGTATATAGCAAAGCTACTGATTTGTGTACATTAATTCTGTATTCTGAAATTCTGCTGAATTGCTTTACCAGTTCTAGGAGCTTTTTGGAAGAGTCTTTAGGGTTTTTTAAATATACAATCATGTCAGCAAATAGTGACAGTTTGACTTCCTCTACCAATTGGGATGCCCTTTATTTCCTTCTCTTGACTGATCACTCTGGCTGGGACTTCCAGTACTATGTTGCATAGAAGTGGTAACAATGGATATCCTTGTCTTGTTCCAGTCCTCAGAGGAAATGCTTTCATCTTTTCCCTGCTCAGTATAATGTTGGCTGGGGGTTTGTCATAGATGGTTTTTATCACCTTAAAATAGGTCCCTTCTATGCCAATTTTGATGAGTGTTTTAATCATAAAGCAATGCTGGATTTTGTCAAATGCTGTTTCTGCATCAACTGAGATGATCATATGATTTTTGTTTTTAATTCTGTTTATATTGTGTATCATTTTTTCACTTGTGAATGTTAAACCATCCCTGCATTCCTGGTATGAAACCCACTTGACCATGATGGATTATCTTCTTGAAATGCTGTTGGATTCTGTTAGCTAGCATTTTATTCAGGATTTTGCATCTATGTGCATCAGGGACACTGGCCTGTGGTTTTCTTTCTTTCTTTTTTTTTTTTTTTTTTTTTGTCATGTCCTTTCCTGCCTTTGTATTAGGATGATATTGGCTTCATAGAGTGATATAGGAGGATTCCCTCTTTCTCTGTCTTTTGGAATAGTGTCAATAGGATTGGTGCCAATTCTTTGAATGTCTAAGAATTCAGCTATGAATTGACTGGACCTGAACTTTTTTGTTGTTTTTGGTAATTTTTAAATTATCATTTCAATCTTGCTGCTTGGTTTTGGACTCTTCAGAGTTTCTATTTCTTCCTGATTTAATCTAGGACAGTTGTATATTTACAGAAATTTATCCATTTCCTCTAGGTTGTCAAGTTTATGCACATAATGGTGTTCATAGAAGACTTGAATGATCTTTTACATTTTGTGGTATTGGTTGTAATATCTACTGTTTCACTCCTAATTGCACTTATTCGGATCTTTTCTTGATTAACCTCACTAATGGTCTATCAATTTTATCTTTTCAAACAACCACTTTTTCATTTCATTTATCTTTTGTATTTGTTTATTTCTATTTCATTTAGTTCTACTCTGATCTTGATTTATTTTTTCTCTTTGGCTGAGTTTGGGTCTGGTTTGTTCTTGTTTCTCTAGTTCCTTGAGGTGTGATTTTATATTGCCTATTTGTACTCTTTTAGACTTTTTGATGTAGGCATCTAATGTTATAAACTTTCCTCTTAGCACTGCTTTTGCTGTACCCTAGAAGTTTTGATAGGTTGTGTCACTATTATTCAGTTCAAATATTTTTAAAATTTCTATCTTGATCCCAGTGATCATTCAGGAGCAGGTTATTTAATTTCCATGTATTTGCATGGTTTGAGGGTTCCATTTGGAGTTGATTTCCAATTTTATTCCACTGTGGTCTAAAAGAGTACTTAATATAATTTTAATTTTCTTAAATTTCTTGGGACTTCTTTTATATCCTATCATATGGTCTATATTGCAGAATGTTTTATGTGCTGATAAATAGAATGTATATTCTGCAGTTGGGTAGAACATTCTGTAAATATCTGTTAAGTCCATTTGTTCTAGGGTATAGTTTTAGTCCATTATTTCTTTGTTGATTTTCTGTCTTGACCTGTCTAGTGCTGTCAGTGGAGTATTGGGGTCCTCCACTATTATTGTGTTGCTATCTCATTTCTTAGGTCTAATAATAATTATTTTGTAAATTTGGGAGCGCTTGTGTAAGGTGCATATATACTTAGAATTGCAATATTTTCCTGTTGGACTAGTCCTTTTGTCATTACATAATGTCCCACTTTGTCTTTTTTAACTGCTGTTGCTTTAAGTTTGCTTTGGTTGATATAAGAATAGCTACCCCTGCTTGGTTTTGATGTCCATTTGCATGGGGTATCTTTTTCCACCCATTTACCTTAAGTTTATAAAAGTCCTTATGTGTCAGGTGAGTCTCTTGGAGACAGCAGATACTTAGTTGGTGAGTTCTTAACCATTCCACCATTCTGTATCTTTTAAGTGAAATTTAGGCCATTTACATTCAACATCAGCATTGAGATGTGAGGTACTATTCTATTCATTGTGCTATCTGTTGCCTGAATATATTTTTTCCCCATTGTGTTATTGTTTTATAGGGCCTGCAAAATGTATGCTTTAAGGAGATTATATTTTGGTGTATTCTGGGGACTTGTTTCAAGATTTAAAGCTCCTTTTAGCAGTTCTTGTAGTGATGGCTTTGTAGTGGCAGATTCTCTCAGCATTTATTTTTCTGAAAAAGACTGTATCTGTTCTTCATTTATGAAGCTTAGTTTTGCTAGATACAAAAGTCTCAGCTGATAATTGTGTTGATTAAGGAGGCTGAATATAATACCCAATCCCTTCTAGCTCCTAGGGTTTCTGCTGAGAAATCTGCTGTTAACCTAATATGTTTTCCTTTACAGGTTACCTAATGCTTTTGCCTCATAGCTCTTAAGATTCTTTCCTTTATCTTGATTTTAGATAACCTGATGACTATGTACACAGGTGATGATCTCTTTGTGATGAATTTACTAGGTGTTCTTTGAGCTCCTTGTATTTGAAGGTCTAGATCTCTAGCAAGGCCAGGGAAGATTTTCTCAATTATTCCCTCAAACATATTTTCCAAACTTTTAGATTCCTCTTCTTCCTCAGGAACATTCGGTTTTATCATTTTACATAATCCCAAACTTCTTGGAGGCTTTATTTTTTTAATTATTTTTTTGTTTGTCTCTGTTGGATTGGGTTAATTCAAAAGCCTTGTCTTCAAGCTCTGAAGTTCACTTGTTCAATTCTATTGCTGAAACTTTCCAGTTCACTTTGCATTTCTCTAAGTGTATCCTTGGTTTCCAGAAGTTGTGACTTTTTTATTTATGCTATTTAACTAGACATTTTTCCATCCATATCTTTTAAAAAAAATTTTTAAGTTGGACTTCACCTTTCTCTAGTGCCACCTTGATTAGCTTAACAATAACCTTCTGAATATTTTTCTGGCAATTCAGAGATTTCATCTTGGTTTGGTTCCATTACTGGTAAGCTGGTATGATGTTAAAAAAAAAAAAAAAAAAAAAAAAAAAAACCTTGTTTTGTCCTATTACCAGAATTTGGGTAGACTATGTCAGAGGAAAGACCTGGGACTAAAGGGCTGCTATTTAGATTCTTTCATCCCAGGCGTGTTCCCTTGATGTGGTGCTCTCTCCTTTCACTTTTGCTTCCTAAGAGCAAAACTGCTGTGATTGTCATTTCTCTTCTGGGTCTAGCATACCAGTGGAGCTACAAGTCTCTGGGCTAGTACTTGGATGTGTCTGCAAAGAGTTCTGTGTTGTGGTCTGTCTTTAGGTCTCTTAGCCATGAAGACCAGTACCTACTCTAGTGGATGTAGCTAGGGAGTGAAGTGGACTTTGTGAAGGTCCTTGGCTGTATAAGTGTGATGGTTTCGTGTTGGTTGGCCTTCAGCCAGGAGGTAGCACTATTAAGAGCACTTTAGTGATGGTCATATAGAAAGGATACAAGCTTGTTCTAGGGTTGCCTATGGATAAGTATTCAGGTTTTTCACACAGTGGGCAGAGCAATAGAGCTCTCATGAGATTGTTTTGGCTTCCAAGGTGGATAGGGAAAGACCAACAGGTGGAGGCAGGCATAGGCATGTCTGAGCTCAAACTCTCCTTAGGCAGGGCTTGCTGTGGCTGCTGTGGAAGATGGAAGTGGTTCTGAGGCCAATGGAGTTTTGTTCCCAGGGAATTATGGCTGTCTCTGCTGCTCAGACAGGTCACCAGGGAAGTGGGAGAAAGCAGGCAGCAACAGGCCTCACCCAGCTCCCACAAAGCCAGCAGCCCAAAAGGCTGGGCTCAATCCCACTGTTTAGATTCAGGGACCCCTCATCCCCCTGCTCAACAGCACTGAGTTTATTTCCAGGCAGCAGGGCTGAGAACTTTCCTTAGGCTACAAACCTCCCAGCTGAGAAAGGAAACAGACTTACAGTTCTTCAGTTGTCCCATGGGTTGCAGTGGCAACCCACCTCCTCCAAAGGTTCTGTGGATTCTCTTGGCTTTCCTGGCATGATCCTGTGGTAGTTCTTCAAGAAAAAGTTCTAATTGTGGGCCTCCACACTCTGCTCTGTCCTTTGAGTGGGAGCTGCAGGTTAGTCCTGCCTAGTATCCACCACTTTTTCTGCTTCCTTTTTTCCCCTTTAAATTGTTCATCTTCCTGAGGGTAATGAGTAAGGTTGTGACAACTCAGATAAGGTTCCTAAATCCAATGACATAAATGCAAATTTCTAATTTACAACATAAATGCAAATCATCTAGCTTGAGCAAAAAGTCTATTCCAGGCTCAATGTGAAGCAACTGGAAGCTCTTTAAGCCATTTTGTAAAGAAACTTTACCAAAAAAATGTTTTTCCCAAGATACCGTGAAGAACTTATATGGATACTTGAAGTAGATTTCTTATTCATCTCTCTTAAGTGTAGTTAAAATCTTTAAGAACAACCATCATGTCCATTCCAATTAAGGACAGATGTGACTAAAGTTTATTAATAAAAAAGAGACCCCTAACGATCCAACATGTGGTGATAATAATTAAAAAGGCAAGATTTTTTCCTAAGTCAAAATACCCAAACAAACAAAACAAAAACACAAACATACTATAGAGGTTCAACCCATATAGATGACATCATAGAGAGTTTTAAAACACTGACTCTTGCAAGAACAGAAAGGGATTCTTTATTGCTTTGTGTGTGTGTGTGTGTGTGTGTGTATGTAGATGGCATTCTGAGTAGTAACAAGCAATCAGGCTTCAATGCCATTTTCCAGCTGGAGCCTACATTCAGCTCTCCCCCTGTAAAATAAAATGATAAAAATGAGGGGTTTCAGCATGCCATAATGCACTCACACAGACTCAGAAGTCAAAACCTACTTGACATTATCCTCCTGGGAGGCACAGAATCTGCAACTTACTTGCATTTGGTTTTTTAGCAGTCTGTGGAGGGGTTGCATTTGTAGATGAAAATGCAGGATGAAAACTATATCACCTCAGGAAGACTTGAAGCTCTTACAGTTCTCTGAAGTAAATCTACCATGATTAGTAACTACTTTGGGAATAAGGAATGCCAGCTGCACTGATACCAGTAATAGCAGCAGCAGTAATAATAGTCACCTTGCTTGAGCATTCACTGACCAGCGTTGATGCTAAATGCAGAAGATGAGTCATATCATTTTACCTTCAGGACAATTCTTAATGTAGGTATTATCACTTTATAGGAAGCATAAAAGTCTCAAGCAAAATGGATAACCTGCTCAAGTTCACACAGGGAGAGACCTAGGCTTGGAGTCCCAGTACTATATTGACTGTTCTTTGATTAATTACACCACCTCCTTTTATTTTGGACTATCTGATGCTGTAACCTGATGAGGATTTAGTAATGCAGCTTTTCAAGTCAATAGTCTGCTGATTCCAAGGTTACGACTCATTCATTTATTCATTCACTGGACCCATTCATGTTGCCTTGACACCTTGGCTCAGAGTGAGCTTGAAGTCATTCACAGGTTTCCATCACAATTTGATGTCCAAATCTGTACAAGTGTTGCTGCCAATTACTGATTTGGGGGATTTCAATTACATGAAGCATAACTGAGTAACTACATCAAAGATTTCTCATTTAAATATAAAACTTCAGGATATAAATATCACCAAGAAGCCACTAGGTGCCCAATTTCTTATTGAGGAGACCAAAGAATAAAAACTCTTCTCATTCAGAGAAGAAAAAGTGTAAATGCTCATGAAAATCAAAATAATCTCTAAGCTCTGTTTCTCCAATTATCTTTCCTGCATTTAACCCAATGAACTGTGACAAGTTCCAAAATTTTTTCCCCTCTTTATCAACCTCCTAAAGGGTAAAGTTGTTTAACACTGTCTTATTTTAGTCAAAGTAACAGGGTTATGTCTTGCAAGAGCATAGAATGCATTTCATATTATTTTTGAGTGGAAAACTAACTGCTAAACGCAAACTGGCCTACACTTTTATAACAGGTCCCCAAAATAATGTGAGAAAAGGTGGATTTGTTCCTGGTTTTCTTACATCCCACATGCTATCCATAAATTTTAATCTGGCTTATTATGGAGGGTCCCTACAACTTAGGTCCCACCAACGCTATTGAAGAGAAAAAGAAGATGGATAACTTAAAAAGTTAGAAGAGCACAGGGAAATGATAAGAACAGTAATAATTTAACTCCAGAGACATGCTTTCCTTTCTTTCTGGGAAATTCAAAAACCAGAGTAGAGAAATAATTTGTCTTGATGGACACTAAAGCCAGAGGAAAGAGGAAGGGACTCCTTTCTTCACTCATGATCACTGTCTCTAAGCAAAATAGCACAGAAACACAAAGCAGAATAAGAGTTGATTCCCCCCTCCCCCAACACACACACACTCAATTGGTTCACAGAAACATCTTTGCTCTTTTTCTCCCCACTAATCTCTCAGATAGCTGGTGCTGAATGTTGCCTGGGTGACACAGCTGCTCAACAGAAACAGAAAAAAGAGGCTCCTCCCCTGAAGCTTGTGGCCTCCTGGTCCCCACATCCATGCCCCCACCTGCTGCTACCTACCCTCTTCACTCCCTCCATACCACTAGTGAGTCACAAAGGGCTTGACTAGGGAGAAGTTTTATAGATCTTGTCATCTTTTCAATTTAAAAAAGCTCCCGAGGTGATTATTCTGTGCAGCTGTCTTCACATTCCCATACAAGATCCATTGACTTAGTTTCTACTTGCTGCCCCAAACCCCATCTCCAGAAAGAATACAGTTTACCCAAGATCATATAACCAAGTGTGGGGTAAAAGGAACTCAGGTATCCTGAATCCCAGTTCTGTGGTTTTTCTGCCAAAGCATTTCTCCCATTGTAAGACAGAGGCTTTTAGTAATGCAAATAGACAAACATTGCACATTCTCACTCATATGTGAGAGCTAAAAACTGGACTTCATAGATGTAGAGAGTAAGAGGGTGGATACCAGAGGCTGGGAAAGAAAGGGTGGAGGAAGGATGAAGAGAACTTAAGGGGTATAAAAATACATTTAGAGAGATGGAATTAGTATTTGATAGTATAATAGGTAAATTAGAGCTAACAATAATTTATATTTCAAAATAGCTAGAAGAGGGAAGACAAAGCAAGATGGCCAAACAAGAACAGCTCTGGATTGCAGTTACCAGTGAGCTACACAGAGGGTGAGTGATCTCAGCATTTTCAAATGAGGTACCAGGTGCATCTCAATGAGACTGGTTGCACAGTGGGTGTAGCCCAAGAAGGGCAAGATGAGGCAGGGTGGGGCACTGCCTCACCCAGAAAGTACAATCCAAGAGGACTCCCCTCCTTACCCAACAGAGGCCATCAGGGGCTTTTCCAGCCACTCCTACACTATGGATCAGATACTGCACCTCTCCCACAGTTTTTACCACCCACAGACCAGAAGAATCCTGGCCAAAAGGTGCCATGAGTTTCCAGCACAGCTGTTTCAGCCAGCACCCAGGTTTCCGCACAAAAACTCACAATAAGCTGGGTGGCTGTTTCAACTGGTGCCTGGAATACCTGGGAGACAGAGCTGCCCATTCAACTAAAAAAGAGGGGACTGAAAGCAGGGAGCCAGGTGATCTGGCTTGGCGGGTCCCATAGCCACAAAAATCAGCAATCTGAAAGGCTCTGGATTGGGAGTTTCACAGCAAGCTTAGCAATTTGAGCTTGACCAGGGACAGTTGAGCACTGTGGGGGGGAAGGTCATCTGCTATTACTGAGGGAGTCTGCCATTACTGAGACAGACCACCATTAGTGAGGCAGTTCTAACTGTACCTCTGTAAACAAAACTGCAAGGAAGTTAACACAGCAGTTAGGCAGAGCCCGAGACAGCTCAGCAATACCTCTGCTGGCAGACTGTGACTAGACTTCCTCCTTGTTGGACAGGGCATCTCTGAAAAAAGGCAGCAGCATGTAAGGGACTTATAAATAAAGCCCCACCTTGCCAGGACAGAGAACCAGGAAAAAAGGTGGTTATAAGTTCCACTTCAGCAGACTTAAATGTACCTGCCTAGCAGCTCTGAACAGAACAATGGAGCTCCTGGCACAGCACGTGAGCTCTGATAAGGAACAGACTGTCTCCTCAAGTGGCTTTCCAACCCCAGTATATCCAAAGAGGCACCACATAAAGGAGAGCTCTGGCTTACATCTGGTGGCTACCCTTCTGGGATGAATATAACAAATGAAGAAACTGGCAGCAGCCCTTACTGTTCTGCAGCCCCACAGGTGATTCCCAGGAAAGCAGTGTCTGAAGTGGACATCCAGCAGTCCTGCAGCAGAGGGGCCTTACTGTTAGAAGGAACACTAAAAAAAAACAGAAAGAAATAGCTTTAACACCAACAAAAAGAATCTCCACTCAGAGACCCCATCCAAAAGTCACCAACTTCAAAGACCACAGGTAGATAAATCCACAAAGATGGGAAGAAATGAACATAAAAAGATGAAATCACCCAAAACCAGAATGCCTCTCCTCCTCCAAGGGATCACAACTCCTCACCAGCAAGGGAACAAAGCTGGATGGAGAATGAGTCTGATGAATTGACAGAAATAGGCTTCAGAAGGTAGGTAATAACAAACTTTTCTGAGCTAAAAGAACATGTTCTAACCCAATGCTAATAAACTAAGAGCCTGAAAAAAAGGTTAGACGAAGTGCTAGCTAGTAAAACCAGCTTAGAGAAGAACATAAATGACATGATGGAGCTGAAAAACAGCACAAGAACTTGGTGAAGCATAAACAAGTTTCAATAGCAAAATCGAACAAGCAAAAGAAATGATAACAGAGATTGAAGATCAACTCAATGAAATAAAATGACAAGACAACATTAGAGAAAAAAGAGTGAAAATAAATGAGCAAACTCTCCAAGAAATATGGAATTATGTGAAAAGACCTAATCTACATTTGATAGGTGTACCTGAATGTGACAGAGAGAATGACTCCAAGCTGGAAAGCACTCTTGAGGATATTATCTAGGAGAATTTCCCCAATCTAGCTAGGCAGGCCAACATTCAAATGCAGGAAATACAGAGAACACCACAGAGATATTCCTCAAGAAGAGCAACCCCAAGGCACATAATCGTCAGATTCACCAGAGTTGAAATGAAGGAAAAAATGCTAAGGACAGCCAGAGAGAAAGGTCAGGTTACCCAAAAAGGGAAGCCCATCAGATTCACAGTGGATCTCTCAGCAAAACCCCTACCAGCCAGAATAGAGTGGAGGCCAATATTCGACATCCTTAAAGAAAAGAACTGTCAACCTAGAATTTGATATCCAGCCAAACTAAGCTTCTTATGCAAAGGAGAGATAAAATCCTTTATGACTAAGCAATTGCTGAGAGATTTACCACCACCAGAGCTTCCTTACAAGAGCTCCTGAAAGAAACACTAAACATGGAAAAGAACAACCAGTACCAGCCACTCCAAAAATGTACCAAATGGTACAGACCATCGACACAATTAAGAAACTGAGTCAGCCGGGTGCAGTGGCTCATACCTGTAATCCCAGCACTTTGGGAGGCCAAGGCAGGTGGATCATGAGGTCAGGAGTTTGAGACTAGCCTTACCAACATGGTGAAACCCCGTCTCTCATAAAAATACAATAATTAGCTGGGCACATGCCTGTAATCCCAGGTACTCAGGAGGCTGAAGCAGGAGAATTGCCTGAACCTGGGAGGGAGAGATTGCAGTAAGCCAAGATTGTGCCACTTCACTCCAGCCTAGGCAACAGAGTGAGACTGTCTCAAAAAAAAAAAAAAAAAAGGAAAAGAAACTGAGTCAACTAATGGGAAAAACAACCAGCTACCATCAAAATGGCATGATCAATTTCACATATAACAATATTAACCTTAAATGTAAATGGGCTAAATGCCCCAATCAAAAGACATAGAGTGGCAAATTGGATAAAAAGTCAAGAACCATTGGTGTGCTATATCCAGGAAACCCATCTCACTTGCAAGGACACATATAGGCTCAAAATAAAGGGATGGAGGAAGATTTACCAAGCAAATGGAGAGCAAAATAAAGTAGGAGTTGTAAATTTAGTCTCTGATAAAATAGACTTTAAACCAACAAAGATCAAAAGAGACAAAGAAGAACATTACATAAAGGTAAAAGGATCAATGCAACAAGAAGAGCTAATGATCCTAAATATATACACACTCAATATAGGAGCACCCAGATACATAAAGCAAGTTCTTAATGACCTACAAAGAGACTTAGACCTCCACAGAATAATAGTGAGAGACTTCAACACTCCACTGTCATTATTAGAAAGATCAATGAGACAGAAAATTAACAAGGATATCCAGGACTGGAACTCAGATCTGGATCAAGAAAACAGAATAGACATTTACAGAACTCTCCCCCAGATCTGCAGAATATACATTCTTCTCAGCACCACATCACATTTACTCAAAAATTGACCACATAATTGGAAGTAAATCACACCTCAACAAATGCAAAAGAACAGAAATCATAGCAAACAGTCTCTCAGACCACAGTGTAATCAAATTACAACTCAGTATTAAGAAACTAAGAACTGCACAACCTCATGGAAACTGAACAAATGGCTCTTGAATGTTGATCTGATAAACAATGAAATGAAGACAGAAATAAAGATGTTCTTCAAAACCAATGAGAACGAAGACACAATGTACCAGAATCTCTGGGATTCTGGTACATTTAAAGCAGTGTCTACAGGAAAATTTATAGCAATAAATGCCCACACAAGAAGCAAGGAAAGATCTAAAGTCAACACTATCATCAAAATTGAAAGAGCTACAGGAGTAAAGTCAAAGAAACTAAAAAGCTAGCAGAAGACAAGACAAGAAATAAGATCAGAGCAGAAATGAAGGACATCGAGATACAAAATAAAACCCTTCAAAAAAAATCAGTAAATCCATAAGCTGGTTTTTTGAAAAGATCAACAAAATAGACTGCTAGCCAGATTAATAAAAATGAAAAGAGAGAAGAATCAAATAGATGCAATAGAATACAATAAAGGAGATATCACCACTGATTCCACAGAAATACAAACTACCATCAGAGATTACTACAAACAACTCTATACACACAAACCAGTAAACCTGGAAGAAATGGAAAATTCCTGCACACTTGCACTCTCCCAAGACTAAATCAGAAAAAAAGTTGAAACCCTGAATAGACCAATAACAAGGTCTGAAGTTTAGGCAGCAATTAATAGCCTACCAACCAAAAAAAGTCCAGATCCAGATAGGTTCACAGCTAAATTCTACCAAACATACAAAGAGGAACTGGTACAACTCCTTCTGAAACTATTCCAAACAATACAAAAAGAAAGAATCCTTCCTTGTTGGGGTCCAGCATGTCTGCCGGGGGGGCTACCAACCTGCGGGAGTCCCTGAGACCATCAATGTAGATGTCTTGTTCAACCTGAGGGAGAGAGTGGGTGGAAGTGAAAGAAGAAAGAAAAGCGGAGGTCTGGAGGTCTGTGTAACTTACAGTCAGAACACAGCACTTTATTTCTGTAGGTTACAGCTCTCATACCTTTTTTCTTGTTACATTTACTTTATCTCAGCAGAAAGGGGGTAAACAGAAAAGAGAACAGAAACCACATAAAAATAGTTATCAGGGGCTTGTGATAACAGCTCACAAAGCAGTGTTAAGGGGGCTTGTGATAATAGCTTACAAAGCAGTTTAAAAGTTAATGTATGTTTTTCAAAGATACACAGTGCAAACAAACAATGGTACCCTTAAGGTGGCTTGTTAACTATGTTTTCCATCAGGAGGTAGAGCAAAGGCTCAGCTCCTGAGAAAATATGGGCAGGGGTCCCTGCCCCTCTCAGGCATCTCAATTGCAGCAAGCCTATTGCTTACACAGAGACTAAAGGGGATATGAAAGCAGTCAGCACAATGTCCTCATAAACCGCAGGCCCTTGCTCTGCATTCTGTTTTTGCCTCAGTGGCTTAGCCATTTTTATCTTGACTCGACAGCCCTCGAGAGTGGGGAGAGAGCAGATAGGTCCAGCAGCCAAGATGGGGCAAGTCACACTTACTGTCTCAAGCCCTTGGCGCAAACGCTGCACTTCCCAAATCATTTTATGAGACCAACATCATCCTGATACCAAAACCAGGCAAAGACTCAAGAAAAAAGAAAACTTCAGGCCAATATCCATGATGAACACAGATGCAAAAATCTTGAATAAAATACTGGCAAACCAATTGCAACAGCACATCAAAAAAGCTGATCGATCACAACCAAGTATGCTTCATCCTGGGGATGCAAGGCTGGTTCAACATACACAAGTCTATAAATGTATTCAATCACATAAACAGAACCAAAGACAGAAACCACATGATTATCTCAACAGATGCAGAGAAGACTTTTGACAAAATTCAACAGCCCTTTATGCTAAAAGCTCTCAATAAACTAGATATCCATGGAAGATATCTCAAAATAATAAAAGCTATTTATGACAAACCCACAGTCAATATCATACTGAATGGGCAAACCTGGAAGCATTCCCTTTGAAACCTGGCACTAGACAAGGATGCCCTCTCTCACCACTCCTTTTCTATATAGTATTGGAAATTCTAGCCAGAGAAATCAGGCAAGAAAAAGAAAAAAGGGGTATTTAATTAGGAAAGAGAGAAAGAATTCAAATTGTCTCTATTTATAGACGACTTGATTGTATATTTAGAAGACCCCATAATCTCACTCCAAAATCTCCTTGAACTGATAAGCAACTTCAGCAAAGTCTCAGGATACGAAATCAATGTGCAGAAATCACAAGCATCCCCATACACCAATAACAGACTAAAAGAGAGCCAAACCAAGAGAATTTACAATTGCTACAAAGAGAATAAAATACCTAGGAATTACAACTAACAAGGAATTACTAATAAAATACCTAGAAAATACAACTAACAAGGAACGTAAAGGACCTCTTCGAGGAGAACTACAAACCACTGCTCAAGGAAATAAGAGAGGACACAAACAGATGGAAAAACATTCCATGCTCATAGTTAGGAAGAATCGGTATCATGAAAATGATCATTCTGCTCAAAGTAATTTATAGATTCAATGCTATCCCCATCGAGCTACCATTGACCTTTTTCACAGAACTGGAAAAAAAAAATCACCCTAAACTTCACATGGAACCAAAAGAGAGCCCGCATAGCCAAGACAATTCTAAACAAACAAACAAAAAAAGCTAGTGGCATCATGCTACCTGACTTCAAACTATACTTCAAGACTACAGTAATCAAAACAGCATTGTACTGGTACCAAAACAGAGATATAGACCAATGGAACAGAACAGAGGCCTCGGAGGCAATACCACACATCTACAACCATCTGATCTTTAACAAGCCTGACAAAAACAAGCAATGGGGAAAGGATTCCCTGTTTAATAAATGGTATTGGGAAAACTGGCTAGCCATGTGCAGAAAGCAAAAACTGGACCCCTTCCTGACACCTTACACTAAAATTAACTCCAGGCGGATTAAAGACTTAAACATAAGACCTACGACCAATAAAAACCCTACAAGAAAACCTAGGCAAATCCATTCAGGACATAGGCATAGGCAAGGACTTCATGACTAAAGCAACAAAAGATTGGCAACAAAAGCCAGAATAGACAAATGGGATCTAATTAAACTCCAGAGCTTCTGTACAGCAAAAGAAACAATCATTAGAGTGAGCTGGCAACCAACAGAATGGAAAAAAATTTTTGCAATATACCTATCTGACAAAGAGCTAGTATCCAAAATCTGTAAAGAACTAAAACAGATTTACAAGAAAAAAAAAAGCAAACCTATTCAAAAGTGGGAAAAGGATATGAACAGACACTTTACAAAAGATGACATATATGAGGCCAACAAACATATGAAAAAATGCTCCTCATCACTGGTCATTAGAGAAATGCAAATAAAAACCACATTGAGATACCACCTCATGCTAGTTAGAATGGCGATCATTAAAAAATCAGGAGACAACAGATGCTGGAGAGGATGTGGAGAAATTGGAACACTTTTACACTGTTGGTGGGAGTGTAAATTAGTTCAGCCACTGTGGAAGACAGTGTGGTGATTCCTCAAGGATCTAGAAATAGAAATACCATTTGACCCAGTAATCACATTACTGGGTATATATCCAAAAGATTATAAATCATTATTTTATAGAGACACATTCACACATATGTTCATTGTGGTACTATTTACAATAGCAAAGACCTGAAACCAACCCAAATGCCCATTGGTGATAGACTGAACAAGGAAAATGTGGCACATATACACCATGGAATACTATGTAGCCATAAAAAACGATGAGTCTGTGTGTTTTGTAGGGACACGGATGAATCTGGAAACCATCATTCTCAGCAAACTGACACAAGATCAGAAAATCAAACACCTCATGTTCTCACTCATAGGTGGGTGTTGAATAATGAGAACACATGGACACAGGGAGGGGAGGATCAAACCCTGGGGTCTGTTGGGGGAGGCTAGGGAAGGGACAGTAGGGGATGGGGAGGGATAACATGGGGAGAAATTCCAGATACAGGTGATGGGGGCATGGAGGCAGCAAACCACCTTACCCTGTTTCTACCTATGCAACAATCCTACAAGATCTGCACATGTACCCCAGAACCTATAGTACAAATTTTAAAAAAAGGAAAAAAAAAAGCAAGAAGATTTATAATTCTCCCAAAACAAAGATAAATGTTTGAAATGATGTGTATACCAGTTACTGATTTGGTCATTACACCTTGTATACAGGTATCAAAATATCATGTGTACCCCACAAAACATGTACAGCTATTATATAAGGGCTGGGCGCAGTGGCTCATGCCTGTAATCCAAGCACTTTGGGAGGCCAAGGCAGGCAGATCACTTGAAGTCAGGAGGTTGAGACCAGCCTGGCCAACATGGAAGAAACCCTGTCTCTACCAAAAACATAAAAAATCAGCCGGGTATGGTGGTTCACACCTGTAATCCCAGCTACTTGGGAGGCTGAGGCAGGAGAATTGCTTGAACCTGGGAGGCAGAGGTTGCCGTGAGCTGATCTGAGATAGTGCCACTGCAGTCCAGCCTGGGTCACTGAGTGAGACTGTGTCTCAAAGGAAAAAATAAGAGTATAGAAAGAGTATAGAGAGCTGCCTGCAGGGTTCCAAGAGAGGAAAACAAAGAAATAAAAAAGATTAAATATTGATTTAGTTTTCCCCTACCTCTGGGCAATTGAAACTGCTTATAAAGACCACTGCAATAAAGACAATTGCAGCTGCTGATTAAAAACTTTCAGAACTTGAGGACTGGAACTATGGGAAGAATGTGGTCTAAGCATCCTCCTCTGGATGAAAAATGTGCAGAGCAGAGGTCTCCCCTAAGTCCATCCTTGAAACATCTCACCTGGGCAACCAAAAGTAGGGCTTCAGGATCCTGAACTTCACCCAGTCCTCCAAAAGTGTTGACCCACTTCCTATGCCCTCCTACTGCAGCTGTGTGTGGAAGGCTTTGCAGCTGGAAAGAAATACATCAAAATATCAGGGAGTAGAACTAGTGATAATTTTAATGTCTTAAAATACTTCTCATATTTTCCAAGTTTTTTTCCATAAACTTACATTGCTTTTATAATTAGAAAAATAAACAAGTACTCTTCCCAAAATGAAGGCAATGGCTCTTAGCATAGTTCTTTACAAATGGAAGCATTCTCCATCCCTCAGCATTTCCGTGAGTTCTTCCTGCATTAGGCAGTGGCTGTGTGATGGAGAGATGCCTCATCATATTTAAAGTGCAGGAGCGGAGAGAGACTTGGTAGTTCATGCCTGTAGTCCCAACTATTTGGGAGGCCAGGGCAGGATGATTAATTGAGCCCAGGAGTTTGAGACTGCCCTGAGCAACATGGCAGGACTCCATCTCTGAAAAACCAGGTGGTTCTAAACAGACATCGAAAGTCTTCTCTGTTGGTAGCCTGGTTTCTTTCTATAAGATATTTTTAGGATATCTACGTATCTATCTATCCATCCATCCATCTACTTACTTACCTAATTACGTAACTACAGAATTATCATTTTCTCTATATCGAAGCCTATTGACCCACTCTAAACTGTCAGGTTGATCTCAGAAGGATCAATCGATTTCTAGTGTTTCTTGGAGCTGCGTAGGGTAACATGGATGTGTACATTTATTTTAAGAAGGCAAACCTGTGAGTATTCAAACTGTTAGAATGTGAAACACATGCCACAGCTAAGGGCCAGTACAGCTATGTACAGCTGACTTAGCTGTACTGGTTCTTCCTTGCAATGTGGCCCTTGAAATAATTTTAATCCTCCCCCTTTCAAGACAAAAAGCTGAAACAAAGGACGTAAACACACAAGGCAGTGAAACCTTAGCAGCCACTTTCAATCTGAGTTAATTGTTTCTTGAGGTTCTGCAAATGATTTATGTCATCTATAAGCATGCTCAACTGCCACTGGGCCCGCCAGGGGCAGAGATGAATCTGATTTCATGGACTGGGTGGCTTTTGTTGTGCGCCTGTCCCCTCCTGGAGCTCTGCATGATGCTCCTTTCCTGGGATTCCTGAAGCAGCCTGCTGCATGATCACGGCATGTGGCAGGGGAGGTCTGAGCAGTCCAGGCAGATGGCCGTGAAAACTGCGAAGACCCCACATTCCCCACCCAGATTGGCACAAGAGACTCCTAAGGGACTGGGGTCCTTTGTGTGTGAAGAGGACTTTTGCCCCTGAAATGGGAGGAAGTAATGTGGATTAAGTATGGTGTCATTTTCACCTTGGTCTCTGCGCATTTAAGTAAAGAGCCTATGTTTTTGTATATCTTCCCCAGTTCAGAAGAAGGGATAATAATTTGGTAGCTTTTAATTCAATATTGCTTTGCAGGGGGTGTAGAAAAGGGGTAGTGGGTCTGAGATTTATGAACACAAATTAGTCATCACATGAATAAGAATAGAAAACAGTCATAAAGGCAGGAGGCTTGGGATATGAATGCTTTTGTTTCGTTCCTATGAACACAGCCTACATGTAACAAAATATGTTCCCTCTTGAAGTCTACTCCAATATAAATATCTATATTCTCTATTGATGAAATATCAAATGGCTATGTTTTGGAGAGACCTCATAAGTAGTTAAGTCCCAGTTTTCCATAACAGATACACACAGTATGCTAGGAATTATTGTAGGTGCATAGGGACATTGCTTATTCCTTAGACATAGGTATTAATCCCACTTTATAGATAAGAAAACAGAGGCTTCTGCAAGCCAAAAAAAAAATTTCTTGACATACAGAAGAGCACCTGCTGTTAATTGACCCAACTTGCCTAATTCTAACAGGCTTGCTAGAAAACTAACTGCTCCTTTCCATCAGCTCTCTTGAAGGCATCATGTCTGTACCCTAATGATCATGAGTCCCAGTCCCCTGTGTAGAGCACCCTGCATTTCCCTCCAGTAAAACTGTTTTCTCACTTGACTACGATTCCTGCTTTTTATAAGACAAGGCATTCAGGATTTCCAGAGCCCCCTACTCCAGTCATTCTCATCTGATCAAGCACATTGGAGTGGTGAGTTGGAGCCGAACAGGGAACCAACAGAGAAGGTGCAGAAGTGAATTGCCACTAATTTTACTGCATGGTTAATGCAAGTGGAGCATGTGCTCAGAAAGGGCTCTATTGCTTTTCTGGGAAATATCCTTCCACACCAATTGTTTTTAAGTGTTATTGCTGATTAATTATGTTCTATCTTCTCTGTCACCCCCCTCCCCGCCACCACTCCATGTTTTTCTCCCTCCCTTTCATTTTTCTCCTTCTCTCTCCCCATTTCCTTCTCCCTCTTCATTAAAAGCAGCATAGATAACGTTGCATCTCTTTCTCCCTGTATATTAATTTTTCAGCATGTCTACTATTGAAAAGGATTAGGAAAAAAGGAACAAGTCAGTAGTTAATATGATCTAAAACTCTCCCAAAGCCTGAAAGACACATCACCACCTGTGCTCCAGCTTTGGCACGTGCTTGGCAGCAAATTGCAAGACTGGGAGGTCATAATCAGGAAAACAGAAACACATTACATTTTAATAATCACCTACCTTTTCAATAGCTTTGAGCTTTCACATGTCACCTCCAGTTACAGGGAACTAAAATCAACCTTCAAGCCCTCTCCTTTTCTGCTCAGCAGAAAGAACAGCAGACAACTGGTGACAATTGTCAAAAGGAAAGAACCAATAAATATAAGCTGCATGCTCAAAGCAATTCAGCAAAATCAAGCTCATCAACTTCCCAGCATGGATTTTATTTTATTCTAAATCAGATACTCATTAATGGGGACCATTCTTTGAATCATCATTTTATTTACACTAGAGAAATGCAAGACATATTGCCTGGCCATGTAATGAAGTGGCTCTCTCACTGCTAGGTTATAGGTATTTCTTTCTGTAGCCTTCTGAATTTTGATGCTAATGGAAAATACCCAGGCCAGATGCTTACCAGTACCAAGTTAAAATGACACTGGAAAGTAAACAATTTTTTTATTTAAAAAAAAACCACACACACAAAGAACAAACAGCATGACAGGCAAAATATGAAAAACCTTACCTGCCTTAGATGTCAGAATCAAGTCATATGGATTATGCTACTTAAAAGAATCACTGACCAGCTGCCTTTAGAGTCTGTGGAAGAGTCATGCCCTAGTTTGAGACAGTGCCTGGCTTCTTGTCATCCTGCTAGAAAATAGGTCCACAGGGATTCTTGCCCTTCTTCACAGCTGTATCTTCACAGGTCCCATCACAGAGATCAACACACACTAGATGCTCAATAAATGTTGGTGGAGTGAAAAACATTTGCATCTGGGAGGTACCCTTTCTCTGTTAAAGGTTAAAAATATTTTAATTCACTAATAATTGATATCATTTTTAGTCTGTAGGCAAAAAATTAACATTCCCCTCCAGCAACCCTCTGATCTGAGTACCATTAAAGTCAAATCTTCACTCATTCCCTGCACTACACAGTGCTTACCCTCTAGATTTTCCTGGGCTGGACAGAAACCTCAACATTCTAGGTGCTGGCTGCCTTCCAATCATTTGCATTTGTGAAGAATCCTTCCCACCTTCAAGGGCCCTAAAGAGATGCTCCTGGGAGGGTAGTGGAAGGTTAGGCACTGTGCAATGAATGGAGGGCAGATACATTATTTGTTCTTAGAAAGTGTCTTTTGTTTTTTGTTTTTCTTTTCTTTTTTTGAGATTGAGTTTCTTTCCTGTTGCCCAGGCTGGAGTGCAATGACTTGATCTCAGATCATCACAACCTCTGCCTCCCAGGTTCAAGCCATTCTCCTGCCTCAGCCTCTCAAGTAGCTGAGATTACAGGCCTGCACACCATGCCCATGCCCGACTAATTTTGTACTTTTAGTAGAGATGGGGTTTCTCCATCTTGGTCAGGCTGGGCTCGAACTCCCAACCTCAGGTGATCTACCTGCCTTGGCCTCCCAAAGTACTGGGATTACAGGCATGAGCCACCTCGCAAGGCCAGAAAGTTTTTGTTTTTTTGTTTTGTTTTTTAAGATAACAGAGCCAGTCAGAACTGATGCCTGCTCTTGGAGCGGGCTGTACTGGTGCTTTGTACTTCCTGTGACGTTATAAAGAGGAAAGCAGACTAAGAAGTCCCTTGCAAATCAGTTAACAGAATACCCTACAACATGCCATGCATCTAGTTTCCACTCTTTCAGGAGTCTGTGAGGTTTTCGGGCTTTAGAAAAACCTCTCTTAATCCTGTGTTGTATTTCACAGCATTTTTCAGTTCATGAGCGTTAAGCATAATTATCTCATGTTACCCAAGATAATACTCTACGAGGTATTATTCACATCCTTCCAGATGAGGAAGCTTATTTTAAATCATTGTCTTTCTCAATAAGTGACTCTCTTTGCATAGCACCATGGTGTTCTCCAAGAGACCCTTGACCTTCTGATTAATTGCTTACTCTTCTTGTGACCTCCAGGACCTCCTTCTCTTGTCTGTCCTATCTTTGGCCAAAATGCTTTCTTGATAGGTGGATTCCTCTCCCTCCCTCCTCCCCTCCCTCCCTCCCTCCCTCCCTCCTCCCCTCGTGGGTGTGTGTGTGTGTGTGTGTGTGTGTGTGGCTTTTTTTCCTGTGATATCTTGACCTAATCAGAGAAGTCCTCTGAATCTCTAAAAGTAGACAAATGTCTGATAAAAAAAGGCAAAAAAAAAAAAAAAAAAAAACCAGAAAGGAAGAGAGATGTTTCGGAACATGAGGATTTTGGAGAGCAACCCATATACAGATGGTGTGTAATGTTCACTAAACACCAAACGCTGGTTTTCCTGCCTGGCTCCTTGTTGCTATTTCCTGGTCACTTTGAACTGGCTTATCAAATAGAATAGATTCCTTGATACATATGTTGGTATTTGAAGTCCTGGTGGGAACAAGGCCTTCCATTTGTTTCAAGTTTTACTCTTTAAAAATGTTTATAAAAACCCTTCTTAGAAAAGGAATCTCAGTCAAAACCCACTATGACTTTGGTCTTCACCCATTTCAAGGAATGATGCTAACCACTAGGATTCTTATTAAGAACAACTCCAGCATGCTACATTCTCTATGGGGAAATTGGCTAAGATTCCTGGAAGGGCCAGCAGGCAGATGCTATTAATATAAGTTCCAGAAAGTAGAATGTTAAAACTTGAAGTATGAAGGCACTCAATAAATAATATTTTCTTCCTCCCCCCAAGTACTGAATCAAATGAAGTAAGAAAAACCAGTTAATATTCAGAGGCTCAACTATCATCCTCATTGCTGGAAAGACCCAAGGGGAAGAGCATTACTTTGGGGTGAGAACCAAGCAGCCTTGATCACTTCCTGCATGTCCTTTTCTCTCTCCTATTTAGACCTGGGAACAACTGACTCAAGGAAGTTTTAGTCCGCAAAGCTTTATCTACAACCCTGTCTTAAACTGGTCCAGATGGAAAGGGCAGTAGGAGAACAGACTAACTAAGCTCCATCCAGCCAAGAAACAAGAAGCAATGCCTGCTGCCCACTAGTTCTGAACACCCTCCTCCTCCTCTGTGTGGGAAAATCACTTGACCTTTGTGGGCCTTGATGTCTTCAGCTTTAAAAAAGGGGGCTAGGCTGGGAGACAGCTATGACCCAATCTAGCTCTGAAAGTCTATGGTTAGCCCCCACAGTGACCCTGATGAGATCCAAGCCACATTGTGCTTTCTCCCTTAAGGTGTCAGTTCCCTTTGCTGAGGTTCATGGTCAAAGATCACAACCCTGGAGACTCACCAATCACCTCCTAAAGGATGGCAATCATGACGGTGACTCAAGGACCATCTGTCTCCACCACCAGAAAAATCACTCCAAGTGCACAGGTCAGCAGGAGCATCTCAGACCACAAAGAGCACTTCATCATCAACACTAGTCCCTGGGAATATATAGGCCTGTCTGTTTCCTAATGGTTCCAAGGCAAAACTCAAGAACATTATTGTGAAAAGTATGTTGCAGCTGGCTGGTGAAGAACAATGAAAAACCAAGGTACTAGAGATTGTGGATTCTAAATTTGTCTTACCACTAGCAAGTCATGTGTCTTTCATATCTCTGGGCCTCTGCTCAGGCGCAAGGTGATAGCAGTAGCAGTTTTCAAACTTGTTTTCCCCTTCTAAAAAATATAAAATCTTAGATCGAATCTTAATATATAACATGGGTTAAAATAAACTTGCTCTTCTCCTTGTGGAGGGAGAGCCTCCAACCCATGCCACTTTTCTCCCTCCCCTCCAGGTATCATCTCCAACCCCAACTATGCTACACCCTGAGCTCTCATGGATCACTTGCCTGAGAAGAATTTCTCTGTGCCAGGCTAACTTTGAGGGCAACATTGTATTCTGATGTCATATCCATTTGACAGCCCACCCAGTTTTCCTGAAGCTATATCCCTGATAGTTCTGAGAAACATTAAAGAAAAACTGAATCATAGGCCAGGTATGGTGGTTCATGCCTGTAATCCCAGCACTTTGGGAGGCCAAGGCAGGTGGATCATTTGAGGTCAGGAGTTCAAGACGAGCCTGGCCAACCTGGTGAAACCCTGTCTCTACTAAAAATACAAAAATTAGCCAGCAGTAGTGGCATGCGCCTGTTAGCCCAGCTTCTTATGAGGCTGAGGCAGGAGAATTGCTTGAGCCTGGGAGGCAGAGGTTGCAATGAGCCAAGATTGTACCACTGTGCTGCAGCCTGGGCCACAGTCTGACCCTGTCTCCAAAAACAACAAAAAGAGAAAACACTGAATCTTGTGTCTATAAATGATGTGAGCCAATTATTATGAGTTAGAAAATAAAAACAGCAAACAAAATATACTTGAGCTCTCAGTGCAAGACTAAACTTTATCTCAGCAGAGAGAGAGAATAGGGTAAAGCATAAAGGGACAGCACCATTATCAAATAATTTAGCTAAAAAGGTATTATTCTCACTACTCCATGATGCACAATCCAGACACACCGCATGAGGCTTTTACCATGAAGAACTGTGAGGAGGGCAAGGCTCCTCTCCTGAGAGAATGCCTCTCTCTCACATGAAACATGAAGAGTTTTGGCCTTCAGAAAAGCTGGCCCCATCCTCCGGTCAGCCAGCCCCTCGTATATCTCCTCTGCATGTGTTAATTCTTTTGAAGGTGATGGGGGTTCTTTGCATGGAAGATATATGCAGCTCGATGGCGGGAAGTGAGATCCTAATTATCTGCAGCTGACAACCTTTCAGGGCCCATTATAAAAGAAACGTCTGCGCCAGGCCCTCGGAGCCCTATATCCCAGCTCTAGGGAGTTTGAGGGAGCAACAAGGAGCGATACTGAGAGCCTGATTTATCAGGGAAGATTAGAAGAGTTACATCTATAGTCTGGTGAAACAATGACAGAGGGGGAGCAGGCTAATGGTTGACAAAGGGGCAGAAGAAAGAGAAGAGATTTATGTAGCCTGGTCTGAGGATGAGCAATCAGAGGCATGGAATGAAATGAAGACGGGAAAGAAAGTCCTGAGTAAATATCAGGGAAACTTTCTGCACTGATTTATTAGACAGATGAGCAAATCTTCCAAATGAGGCTTCATCCTTACCCAGAGAAAAAGTGAGCCTACATAAATGTGTCATGGCCATTCATCTCTGTCACCGTGGGACCAGTCGTGATACCTAGCTTGGCTTTCTATCTTTCTCTTGACAACTGTCCTTAAAAGTCAGAGTCGACCCTTTTCTGAGATCTCTATGGGGCTCTGAGAGGCCCTTAAAGGGCAGGTAGCACATGTCTGCAATTCTAGGCTCAGCTACTTGATAAACGTCGCCAAAACTTATATACCTACTTTACAGTTTTTAGAGGAGACAAAATGCACTTGTCTGTGGTACCCAGTCCAAAATCTCCCTGGGGATGAAGAGAAGCTTATGCTTGGAAGAAAAGCCAGGGTACATCAAGATTCCATTGATGTTCTGACAGCAGAGGAATATGGAAACCTTCTGGTGAATTATACTAGCTACTGAGTGTGTCCATCTGATTCTAATCTGGATAGAGAAACTCTTATGCACTCCCAGA